CTCAGGCGCCCCTCCCTCCCCGCACCTCCCCTTGCCTGGGCCTCGGGGTGTTCTGTCTGTGCACAGCCCGCCGTGCAGACCTGGGTTTCTACCTGGATGTATACAAATTGCACTGATTTCCCGCCTCATACTCTATTCAGCAGAAAATAATTGCCTGATAATTTATTATAGCCTAATAATCTTAAGGCTTTCATTTAAAGTGTAGTGTGTAGCAGGCACTGTACATAGCGTAACATTATTGTGTCCTGTTATGAACTGAGAAAGCTAAGAATTTAAATAACTTGTCAACAACAGGTGTCAGAATAGAGATGCAAACCAGGCATTTCCTGATGCCAGCACCCTGCCCTATTTATCAGTAGAGCCTTTAATTTTTAGACCTGGTAGATGACCAGTGATGTTGAGAGGAAGAGTCACATCTTCAGAGAGGTAAAAAGGAAGGTGAAAGCCCTGGCGTTTCCCCTAGTTTCTCCATAAATGTACTTGAGAAGGACAGACGAAAGCTGTTTCATGGAGCGCAGCATTTGAAGGAGTGTCTCACTACTCAGAGGCTAGCACTAAGCACACGGATGCAGGGGAAACTCACAGGTACCCTGGAGTTGTTTCTTGAAGTAGGAATAAACTTTCACTTCTAGGTACATTCAGTGTTCTTGGAATGCTTTTCCATCCACCCAGTGTCTGAAGTAAAGAACAGGGCAGAAATGGGGACACAAGTCGGGGCTGGAAGACGCCAGCAGCTTCCAGGGAATGTGGTCACGGTGTCACACAGACATCCTCCGCGCAGTACTCCAGGGCTGGCTGGGGGACCACTTCACATCAACGGCATGAGACCAGAGCAAGGTTTATCCGGCAGAGAACTTGCAGGATGGCATTTCCGGTGAGATGAAGCTAATTAGGGATAGCTGTCTTTTACTCTCCTAAAGCAGCTTCTTTGAAGGCATAGAAAGGTGAGATTGTGTCCATCTTATATTTTCATTCATAGATAATGCTCGTGGTTCATTTGCGCTTGTGGACAAATTAAAGATAAAACACCAGTTGCATGTAATTAACAAAAAGTAGAACCTGAGCAAACCCATGATGTGCTTGGGACAGAGCTAGAAAGTTGCTGTCATGTTAGGTGGATGTAAGATCATTTCCTGGTCCGTGGAAAACTGTCTTCCACAAAATCAATCCACATGAAGACAGTTTTCCACGGACCAGGATAGAGGCGGGATATGATTTGCTTTGAGGATTAGATTCTCATAAGGAGCCTTAGCCGAGGTCCCTCCCATGCACAGTTGATGTTAGGTTTTGTGCTCCTATGCAAATCTCATGCCACCACTGCTGAGTGGCTGCACATGCAGATGAGGCTTTGCTTACTCACCCTCCGCTGGGCTGGTACAGTGATTTCCTAGCAAGCCATTCCCAGTGCAGGCCTGTGACCTGGGATCTGGGGACCCGGATGTAAGTGAAGCGCAAAGTGGTATTCTTTTGTCGCCTAAGAGCCTCTGGGCACTGTTCGTGGAAGTGCATTCTCGAGCATGCTTTGAAAAGCCATGCTAACGCTGAGCTGAGCCATGCACCTTGGGCTCTCCGGGTTATGGTTTTGTCCAGTATCTGCAAGGCCCCTGTGTGCCCTGGGCGGCGGGTGTCAGTGGTCAGCAGCCCAGAGTGTCCCTAAACAAACTAAGCAGGGCAAGTCAGACTCTGCCTTCGTCCCCAGGCAGGCAGAAAAGCATCTCATTTGCATGATTTTCGACTGTTGGTGAGCGTTGCCATCCTCCCCTTAGCAAGGAAGAGAGCACGTTTCTTCTGCTGCTAAGAACTGCATTAAGGGCAGATGTTGAAAGATGAAGTTTCGCAGTGGAGAAGCATCTTGAGCTCTGTGAGATTTGTGTCAGGTTTTAAGTAATGCGATACTCTCCAAAAAATTTGCAAACCTAAGTAGAGATGTGTTTATATGGTCTAACATTCTTTGAAACACATGTTAATACAAGGACTTGTGAATAAAGAACATAGTGTTACTGGATACAGATGCCTGAGTGAGGCAAGGGAATGGTGGTGTCCGTTTTACCATAGCGGGAGTCGCAGACTAAGCTTGGCCCAGGCCTCAAGTCTGGCCCAGCGCCTTGTTTTCTAAGAGCAAATTGTATCAGATCACAGACACGCCCACTCAGTTCCCTTCCCTTGATGGCTGCTTTCCTACTGCAAAGACAGAATGTAGCCCAGGAGGCATGACAAGGCCTCCCCGATCCCCTCAAAGGTCGGAGTAGTTAAATCTGCTGAAAATAGCTGAGAAGAAGCAGATTCACAGGGAAAAGAGTTTACACATCCACTAACGTGCTGTGCGCACCGGAGCCGCCTGCAGCCCAACTCTCCAAGAAGGGCAGATGGCTGAAGTCAGATCCCTCCACGAGGGGAGGGAGTGGCGGTGGCTCCTGGGGGAAGCAGGGATCGCAGGGGCAGCGGATGAACAGGCCCAGGGAACAGCCAACAGCCTCGCCCGAAGCTCTCTGTGCGCTAGGTGCGGTGTGTGATTTTCAGTCTCTTCCTCTGCAATATGAGTTTAATCTACCTCAGTTCATGAAATTTCTGTAAGAAGATTAAAAGCCGTTGAATTTCTCTTTGGTGGGTCCAGTCTTCATGTAGATAAGGGGAGATCAGAGGAGCCCTTTGCTGCGTTTTAGAAAGACGAGAGGATTGGGAGACAGAGAGATGGGAAAGGTCAGAGACCTTGAGGCCCCTCTGTAGTCCACACGTGAAAGCATCGTACTTTGCGGTATCACTTTGTAATCCCCAGGACTTAAAAGCCTGAAACGTTTTCTATCTGGCCCTTTACAGTGAGGGCTTGGGAACCTCCAGATGATAGTGTAGTCTTCAGATTTGCCTCATTACAGCTTTGAGGGCAGAGAGCAAGTTAATTCCTCTAAACGTTAGTTTTCCCATGAATGAAATGGAGGGTACTGAGGATTAAATATTTACAATAGAACAAATGTAAAGTTCTGTCCTTGCCTCGGGCCCTGCAGATGTTGTGGGCAGGCTGTTAAAAGCCCAGTGCCTGGCACACAGGAAGTGCTCCGTACACTCTAGGTGTGTAAGTTAATGAATGATGTGTGTTGTTGCCTTCACTATTCTTGTTTTGTGCCACTTTTGGCCTCTGCTCTGGAGCTGATGGAATGCACCTCTTCCCTGTGGTTGTGTCACACGGCAGCTCTGAGTCCTAATCTGTCCATGGAGCACACTGGAAGAAAGTAGGTGATCCTATGATAATGTATGGAAAACATGGAGAACGGGCTTTTGTGTCAAAGTCTGTTGCAGGACAGTGTATGGAGTATGGTCCTGGGATGTGAAGTGTGTACCTCTTTGCACTCCACCAGGATGAAGGTTATAGTCTTGTTCCCTGGTAATGTTCTTGAGGTCTGAAATTGTGTTAGTACATAGTGGATGCTCATTAAATGCCTGGTGAGTGAAGGTTGGAGCCTGGAACATCCCTATCTGACCCCAGAGTTGTCCTGCCTGTGAAGGGCAGGGGTTGGGCTGGGGCTAGAGAAACAGGTGACCAGCAGCTGGGTGAACTGGAGCAGCCTCTGTGGTGGGGTAGAGTAATACTGTTGGTGTCCAGTAACAAAAGATTTGTAGGAAAGCTCTTGCCTTTAAGATCGAGTGTGGGAGTGCTTTGGGGTTTGTTATTTGGTGGTGGGGATTGCACGGGAATTTGCTCTGTCGTGGGACAGCTTCTGTAAGGTCCCTGTGGCATCGAATCCAGGGCTTGGGGTGGGGCAGGCGCCACGGGTCTCCTTTACCCAGACCCTCTTCCTCAGTTGTGAGTAGGATGAGGACTCATGTAGCCGAACAGATCTGGATCAACCAACTCACAGGATGTGAGACACAGATGGAACTCTGCCTGATTGCCAGCGACTGCAAGCCAGAAACATGAAAGGTTCTCCTTTATTTTCTACATTTGGAAAGGAGAACAGACTGCAGAATGACGTTCTATCAAAGGGGATATATTTAGAGATGAGAATATTTGGTTGTTTCCTTTTACAAGATCAACTTGTAGATTCATTAGATTGCACTTCTTTGAGAGCCAGCCAGTGTTTTTTTCTTCCCTGTATCCTTAGGGTCTAGAATATTGCAAGAGAAAGAGTAAACAAAGTGACTAATGTAAGACTGCTCTTTGCAAGCATCCTTCATTCTTAAGATACTCTGTAATAATTAGTAGTTAACATCATTTGAGAGTAGCAGGTTTTGGCTAAAATGAACTCAGCAATTCTGGATACAAATGAACATTATGTTCTTTTGCACATGCTTAACGGGTAGGGTGCATCTCTATGAGGTATCCTTGGGCTGGAGTGAGGGACCACATTCCACCAAGATAGAGCTCTTGGAGATATGGTGCTAGTGTGTCTCAGATAGTGGGTGAGTTCTGAGCCTGTCAGGAAGCCGGACCAAACACTGTCAGTACTGCTTGTCTGTGACGAGCTCAAAGCTGTGCAGTGCAGGGGTTGCCTTCTGGGTGGGTTTTCCAAAGCAGAAGGGCTTTTGCTGGCTAGCGTAGGCTAGTCTGTGGCCTGTCCCTGGAAGCAGATCAGCGCTCTTGGTGACCAGCATCCCGCCCAGAGCCTGAGAGTGAACCTCAGAGAATGTCGCCTACAAAGCTATGAAGGAACTCGCTGTAACCTCCAGATCTGAGCTCATAGTGCCAAAACCCTGTATCCAGTGATATGAGCGAGTCTGGGCCAGAGAATCTATTTAGAAACAAATGACATACCTATGGGCCTCTGACGCTCACAGTGCTGAAATCCAGGGAACTGGATCCACAAGATGAGCCTGTCATTCTCCATGCGAAAGCCAAAGTGTGCTAGTGTAAGCCGTCGGAGAACTCACCTGGAAATGTTGTGTGAGACGGGATTTTCTCTTGCCTCTGTAGCACGGGGAAGCTTCGTTAGAAAGTTACATGAGACTGAAAGCTCGGAGGGTCCTCTGCGCCCTGCAGTAATGCTGTTTCCTGCCCTGTTTTCCAGCATGGGCTACTGCATCCTCTTTGTGCACGGGCTGAGCAAGCTCTGCGCGTGGCTGAATCGCTGCGGAGCCACCACCCTAACTGCCTGCACCGTGCTGCTGCTGCTGCTCTTCTCTTGGAAAACTGTGAAACAGAACGAAATCTGGCTGTCAAGGGAGGCCCTGTTCAGGTATGAGTGGCGGCGGAGAGGGTGTTTCTTCCCATGTATCTCTTTCCTTGCAAACTTATTTCCAAACGAATGAGGTAACGTGGGTTTCGTAGTGTTTATTAATCCAAAAAAATCACCCCTAATAGAGTTTTAAATGGAAGATACAACTTTATTTTGAACTTTAGCTTTAGGTGTTTTAAATGATATTACATAAAATTTAACGTGAGCTCGTTATAAGTGAATTTATGGAAATAAGACTCATGAGAAGGCTTTTCAGTCTGTGAATTCAGGTGGAAACAATCCTAATGATGAGTGGGGCTATAAAATCAGCCATAAACAAAATGAAACAGATGAGCGTGATTTCTCTGTTCAGTCAAGTGGGTGGGAGAGGTGAGTATACAGAAGGGAAGGGAAGTGCTGTGTGTTTCTGTACAATACTCCACTGTATGAAGTTGTGATCTGCGATCTGATTGCTCTGTTTTGAACATTAATGGGGAGCGAGGAAACAAGAGACTTTTTCATGTCCTCATAGATTTTCCTGTGGTGTACGAGCTGTTTCTCAGTATCACAACATCAATTTAGAACCCCGAACCTGTCCTAAAGTAAGAACCTTCTTTGGGGCCGTCGTTCACCATGGTGGACCCGGGGCTGTGTGTCCCATTCAGGTCATGTAGCGGTGGCCTTCACCTGGCTCGCTTGGCGTGGCCATACCAGCTGTCGTCTCCGCAGGGGCCCCAGAGTCTGTTCTCTTCTACTTTTGTCCTCACTGTGGCCTCATGGGGCACCTTGAACAGCATGGCGTTTCCTGCCCTGCTCAGCCGGCACCCACCCCTTCCTCTTCGGGAATCACAGTTGGGACCCGTACGAGGAGGGGAAGCCATTGGAAGAAAGCGTGCAGGGGAAGCGTGCAGCACTGGGGGCCAGGGCAGGCGCCGAGCGTGCGGCCCGGCGGGCAGGCTGTGGCAGCCTGTGCTCAGCACGTTAGTGTCAGCTGGAAGGAGGGGAAACTCAGTCTGTATTCACGCTGGAGTCCCCGGAAGGGCAAGCCTTCAGCTGAGCTTGAGCTTGGTCACTGGGAGGCAGGGTCTCTCCAAAGGCCTCCTGCCTTCCACGCGAGGAGCTGGGGCTGGTGGAGGACCGTGTGTTTCCTCCAGGACCGCGCCAGCTAAGGCGCAGTGGTGGAAGACGGCGGCAGGCGGGTGTTTGCTTGAAGGAACTGATGAACGAGCAAGACCCATACGCGCTGTACTCTTAGTAACTTAGAACAATGTATCTCATTTTACTACTTGGCAATTTAACTTTCTTAAAATTTAAGAAATTATCTTGGCATGCCTATTCAATTATCATCTATTTAGTATTACTGTGTCATCACTGTTATCACCAGTGTCACAATGTAGCATTTTTTTTTTTTTTTGGTGGTGCTGGGTATGTACCAGAAAGCCTTGCGATACCGGGCCAGGGCTGTATCACTGAATTGCACCCCAGCTGCTTTTTCCTCTTGCTGTGATTTTTGATCCGTACAGACCTGCACAATGACTCTCAGGCCTCAGATTCTGACCCGCTTGGGCCGCAGCCCTCCACATTCAGCTCAGTTCCCACAGGACACAATGGACTCGCCGCCCTCCACCTCCCCATGTCCTCTAAGGTTGTTCTGTAAACACAGGGTTATTCCAGTTCAGTTTAGTAACAGAACTTCCGGTCTCTTTTGGCTTAATTTTCTTTCTTTTCTTTCCAGTAATCAGTGCTTTTAGAAGGAACTGAAGCAGTTCTGCCCGTGTTGAATCCTGCCCCGGTAAGGGCACTATCAGTCATTGTGTCTTCTAATGACGCTTACTGCGTCATCAGAACAACCGGCCAGCAGCAAAATCCTTTACTTCAAGGACAATATGTTAGGGTACAAACTGTCTACAACAATTGTAACAAAGAAAAACTAAAGCAGAGTACACTGGCTGCACTCGGGAAGCTCCTGTTCCCAGGATGGAAGTGTGTAGGAAGCAAACCTTTGATGAGTAAAACTCAGCCACTCACTAATGTGCTTAGCGGGCCTGGGGCTGAGAGAGGCCTTTGGCATCAAATGGAATTTCGAGTCATGGCCACTCAAAGCTATTATTATAGTTTAGTAAATTTTGCCTAAGCCTTGCCAAACATTTTAAGATTCTGAGACCTTGAGATTATTCTTTTTCTTTGAGAGCTAGATGTTTGCGTGGATTTGCTATGAGGTTGGTGACCTGTGTGGCAGGGTAGTGTTGTGACTGAGAGGGGGACCAGGGGTTAGACTGTCTGGCCCTGCTCCAAGCCATTAAATAGTTGTGTGGTCTTGGGTAAGCTACTTAAACACTCTGCCTATTTTCTTCACTTCAAAATTTGGAATGGCGGTGTTTATCTTCAGAGTATAGTTAAGAATGAAATAGTGCCAGATATGTAAGACGATGTCTGGCACGTGACAGACACTGTTTAAGGTTCTAGAATGTGAGAGGAAAAATAGAGGGTGTCCATAGCGGAGCTTTTGGTCTATGTGGAAGTCAAGCACAGGAGAATGCAGTATTTCAGGCAAATGTACTGTTAGACTTAGAACGGTGTACAAATGAAAGCAGGTGACTAAGACCAAGGGAGGCTGGCAGGGGCCATTCTGCTGTAGGTCTGAGCTGAGCATTCAAGGACAAGGAATACACAAGTGAGCCCTAATGACCAAACCCAGGAGCTGGCTGAATAAAGAAACAATTACAGTAGTTCTGGAGTCAGCAGTGCCCTTGGGAGGCCCTGCTTTGGTTTTCACCTCTGTTCTAGATAACAAACTCATCTACTGTTTCTGGGACACTCAGCATTGCTGAGGCCTCTGATTATGTGGGGTGGTTTTTCTCCACCATACGAAGATCAGTCTTTACAGAAAAGCCTAAGACAGGCCTTCATGTTAGAGGAAATACAGATGGTGGCCGAGCTCAGGTAGCTTCCCAACTGAGGACTCGTCTCACGTGAGAGATTGCAGTGTGTGGTGTGTTTCCAAGAGATACAGATGCAGCATCACTGCCCAGCTTAGTTCTCCTGTTGGCTAGAAACTTACACACAAAGGTACAAGAGCCTAGCATGGTATCTCCTCAGAGTCTTGGAGGAGATAAGTTTTCCAAGCTGAAATAGCTGTTAAGAGGGGCCAGGGTTTGAACTCAAGTCTGATGTAAAGACCAAAGGAAGATAAATGTGGTAACATCTTTTTTGTTTGTTTGTTAGTTTTTTTCCGGTACCAGGAATTGAACTCACGACCTCACGCTTGCCAGGCAAGCGCTGTGCCACTGAGCTAAATCCCCAGCCCCTGTGGTAACATCTTTTAAAAAATATTTATTGCTGAACCAAACTATGTTCAGTACACACACACACACACACACACGTGCACATGCACGCAGGGGGGTCATAATTATAAGCAGAAGGGATATTTTCTTTAATTCTTTTAGCAAGCATCGACTCTCTATCCTAACCAAGGAAGTGGGTGACTGAATCCTGTAACCACTCAGAACTTCACATTTGTTTGGAGTAAATAACACAATGGGAACAGTTGATTAGATTAACCCCATCTTCAGAATACTCAGAAAGACAACTAACATATTTTCTTTCACATCCAGCCCAGAGTCTCTGGGTCCCATTCCTGAACTGTTTTTGTGGCCACTGGTGAAGAATCCACGGCCAGCTCCTCCTGCCCCTCTGAAGGCAGCACCCTTTGCTGTCCTCTCCTCCGAATCCCTGAGCCAGAGAGAGCTGTGTGGGCCAGATAGTAAATACCTGGGCTTCTGGGCCTTTCAGCCTTCAGCTCCTGCTTTCAGCTACTGTGTCCATCTCGGCCACTGTCTCAAGAAAGTGGCCTAAAACTCACATGAACACTTCGGCTCCTCAGTTGCCCTCCAGGCTGTAGTTTGCTTGCCAGCAGTGTGCCCAGCACAACCGTGAAATGTTCTTTGCTCTGTGCACTTTAATGTTACTAGTGTCCTGGGGTGCTGTTTTGGCTTAGTGTCAGAAGTTGGCCAACTTCAAGAATGATTGTAACCGTTTCTTGGCTTCGGTTGAAATCTCTGCTCAGCTACTTACTAGATCCATTATTTAGAAAATGACCTTCATCTCTCTGATTACATCTGATTAAATCTCCTCATCCTTAATCTGAAAGGTGCAGTAACACCCCCTATCTGGGAGGGTATTAGGACTGACCAGGGCATCACCTTGGGACATGAGTGCTTGACCAAGTGCTCGGTTTACTGGTAAGATGAATGTTCTAAGTACCAGCTGTGCTACCCATCCCAGTGTGAACCCTCAGTCAAAGCAGGTTCATAACTGAGGAGGGCCACGGATTGTTCTCGCTGTGCTGTTAATCTTTGGCTTTATACTCTGTACTGATTTATTTTTAATCTTCACTTTCTAACTAGAAATTTGGGAATTGTTCTGCAGTGATCACAATAAAACAAGTTGATGCACTAAAAATGTAGTGAAATACCTGACAAAAAAGGCTGTTTTTATTGTTTCCATTACCTTTCAAGTCTTCTACAAGTAAAAGAGGTAAAAGAAGTGTGGAATGCAGGTGTTAAATCCTGAATTGAAAGCCGTATTTTTAAAAATAGCTGTTGTTGTAATTATCACCAGGGCTTCGGACTCAGCCCTATGACCTGTGCACATTACATTTTTTTTCGGTGGAGTAAGGCTGGGTGTTTCCCTTAAAACAACGTGGGAGTGCCAGTCAGAGCATCAAGGAAGAGATGCGGACATGGCCCTGCTGGCCATGTGCCCTGGCCAGCTACAGTTTCAGGGAATGTGTTGCACTTGGCCAATTATTAGTTAGTTTTTTTCTTTCTTTCTTTCTTTCTTTCTTTCTTTCTTTCTTTCTTTCTTTTTTACAAACTACCCACTGTAACATGAGACTGTGGAAAAACATAACAGAAAAATACCACAGAAAGCATAAAGGTCAAAAACAGCAGTAGGAAAAACAGTGTGTTCTGGTAGCTACCCCACCCACCTACTGCTGGCCTGTTAGGAATATTCTTCCT